CTTTTCTGCAGCCTTTGACCAGCAACTTAGAAGGAGGAACCCTTATAGAGTTCCAAGGAGGCTGATCCCCTAAAGAGATCAACCCCAAGTTTAGAATATGTAAGGGTTCTAACAAAAGACCCTCTTGATTGTTAGTAAAAGTCATTTCTCTTAGGTATTAAAGCAAACGAGAAAAACTTTAGCTTTGATACCAACTGTTAGGACCGGAATAAGCACTCGAGGCCACCGGCTTCCACTACCGATCTTCTTTCCAATAGGCGAAGATCAACTACCCTTACACTCTTTCTCCTTTTCACAAGTTTAGGAGATAACCTTTACAAGTTTCACACCTCTTTTAGAATGATCACAAATCTTGAGGAGGAGGAGAACACTTAACAGTTTTTTCAACTCAGAATAATAGCCCCTTTCTACTCAATTTCATGCTTTCTCAAGCAAAAAAGAGTGGGGTATTTATAGGCCCAAAATGGCTTCAAGAATCAAGCCAAAAAAGGTCTCATACCAGTTTTCTCAGGTCCTAGCGGTACCACTGCTTATGTTAGGCGGTACCATCACATGCAACATTGACACTAAGTGGTACCACTACCCAGTTTGATAGTACCACCGCCTAACACAGTCTGGGAGACTATGTCTAGGCAATACCACCACCTGACAGCCTGGAAAAGTGTGCTCTTGACTTTTCTAACTCATAGGTGGTTTCATATAACCTTGGGTAATCAAATGAGCCTTCCACTTGGCCCAAAACAGTCCTAACTTAGGCCCAATGGGTCTGTAATTGAGTTGGCATGTTACACCCGAATCTAACTAAATTACTACCTAACTATGACTAATTAAGATAACTAATTACAAGACTAGAACTAGAATTCTATGTTGTCTGGCATGTCATTGGTTCATCTAGCACTTCGTCCGATCCTTCGGTGCATCGTTATCTCCTTCAGCGTATTGCCCAATCGGCATGTTAATCTCCTGCAACTTCTAATCTCCTAGGTGCAATGTCCGATCCTTCAGCCTGATGCCCGAATTCATGACATGAAGTCCTTCTGTTGGCCCGTCAATCGATCCTCCGACCAACATCCAATCTTCTGACATATTCACTCCGGCCCAACGTCTGATTCTTCCTGCTTTAATTGACTTACCTTTTCTAATCGAAGTTAGTCCTATGTCACTCAAAACATAGATTAGATTGTAAACTCATCAATTGATTTCATTATCAAAATCCGAGATTCAATAAACTTATCCCTCCAAGGTATTTGTCTCGTTGAAGTAACTTCTTCTCTTCGCATCCTTCCCTTTGGAAGTTTTGGAGACCACCATCCCATTGGACTACTTTGTTTTGCTAAACAAACTATACATTATTCTGCCCCTGCAAATACACTTGCTAGATTGGAACTCCTCGCCAATATAGCTCCTACTGCACCCTTCAAGGCCCAGCAATATACTTAACTAACTATACACTTCAGTCTCCTATGGATATATCCTTCTCATATCGAAGAGAAAGTTTTAATAATCTAGGAGTTAAGTTTCTGTCGCCTTGGGATGACCACAAACATTCCATCGTCCACATATAAGCCCTTGCATGAATACTGAATTCTTCGAGTTAGTAATTCCCCTCACATTTGTGAGCTTTGTGCAACTCTTTCGATTGCTGAACAACCCATTCTACTTTACACAGTCTCATCCTTTACCAAGTGCCTCGCTTGCCTTAAGCACTATCAAGTATGGTTGCCAATGTCGAGTCATAGTTCGAACTCAGCCATCCCAACCTTTGTGCACTACACATTCTTCCCAGCTTGCTTGTCCTCGTGGTACCTCCTATGTGAAGGGTTGGCTATTACTCTAAATGTTAATCTTAGATGTTCGCTCCTCTAAGTGACTCATTTTCCCTATATCTCCATTTTCCCTACTTAGTTTCTCCCAAACGGTCGCGTGTGCTGGCTGCCCTCAACGCAGCCCCGCTAGGTCTCCCACATTTGCATGCCAAGTGTTTCTATGTGTGCTTATCTCACTCTGATACCATACGTCGCGTACTTAGCTAGTTTTGCCTAAGTCATGTAGTATCGAAGCATGTCTATCTACAAAGGTTAGTCTTTCCGAAACCTCCTATGGTCCCTTAGGACCTACAAAAGAGAAAACGGGTTAGAGAAAGTGTTTCACTCGAGATTCAAAAATAATCATTTTAGCAAACACTTCATAACCAATGTAAATTATAAATAGACTTCACAAGCTCTGAATAGTCGCACAACAAAGGGTCTAAAATGGTCCACTATAGATCGAACTCCTCACAAGTGTCCAAATGATATAATCTTTGTTTACAAATCTAAGATGACCACCAAAATCGAAAAAAATAGGATTGCTAAGCCTACTATCAGCCCTTCACATACTATGCAAAGTATGAACAAAACTGAAAGACACAGACATACATGAGTATTACATCAAACACCTCGTTTACAATTTTGTCAGTGACATTCTCCTATACTTATTCCTTCGACATCCTCATCGAAGCCTTTGTAGACGCTATATTTCCTCACCTTTGCTGAGTCTTCAATTTTCTCATCCAATTGCAATTGCCTCTTGGCTCTCAATTACACTCCGTCGTTGTTGCTGAGTAGTCAAACTTTGATCTATCATTTTACTTTAACTCGCCAATAACTCTGACTCTAGTGTAGAATGAAATTTGAAAGACTGATAGTTGTATTTACTAGAATAAGTATTTTGGATTAAAAAGAAACAACACAAGATAATACTTTCATAAATCGATAAATAGCTCACCATCGAGTTTAAAATCACAAAGGGATATAGAAAATTCAACACCCCAAGGATACTAAACAATGATACAAAACTGAAAATAAATGACTCACCACTCAAGGAAATATTCAAGAGATATAGAGATGAAACCCATCACTCTTTAGTAAACCAAAGAGATATAGAGTTAAAAGAGAACTCAAAGAGTTTCTACAAATATAATCATATTCTGGACTGTTTTTAACTCTAAAATACCAAAATAAGTACCAGTGCATGAAACAACCCTCAATGTATATGGAACTATAAAATTTATTGCTTTATAGCTAATAACTAAGCCCTTTAATTCATTCTTTGGTCATGAAGAAAAGTTAAATTAACTCTCCCTTTCAATATGCTCACCAGTTAGAAAGTTAAGAGTTTAAGCTTTTTCAACTTATAAAGGCATGCCTCTTAACTATTTAATAATCAATTTGGGCTATTCAATCAAGTTGGGCCATCTGTAGGTTTGGATAATAGGCTTATAACTCATTTGGCTTATGGGCTGTCACATTTGAGAGGTTTGGATTAAAGGTTTTGAGACAAGCATTTTGGGTTGTAGGGAATACCATAGGATTATCAAGATTTACACAAGCTGATTATAGGAAATTAGACACTCGCATGTCACGATCTCTACTATTTTGATCTCTCCCCTGAGATTTAGTATTTGAGTTTTTCTTTTGATCCTTCTTCTGATATATCTTTATTCGAAGAGTATGTTTTGAAGTTTCATCTGAAGATTTATTCACTTTTTGTTCGTGAACTAAAAGGGTGCTCATTTGTTTATCAATAGATAATGTATTTGTATCTTTAGCTTCGGTAGAAATCATATCAAATTTTAAAGATAAACTTCATAAAACCTTTTCTACTATAGTTTAATCTTTTAGATTTTTATCATAAGATCTCATTTGGTTCATAATAGAAGAAGCTTTTGAGAAGAAATTAATGATAGATTTAAAATCTTTCATCATAAAACTTTTGAATTCACGTCCAAGAATTTAAAGCCTTCAAATTTTTATCTTATCTATGCCTCCAAATACACCCTTTAATATTTTCAGATTTCTATTGATGTTGATACCATCATGATTCAGGGTAATAGGGAATCATCTATTGATTGTTGTAACATGTAGAGGGCTCTTACATCTTTCCATATATTTTAATTTATCTGATTTTTTTGATATTTAATAATATTAAGATCTTGTAGATCATACTTAACAAAACCATTCTCTAACCAAATTCTATAATCTTTGTGAAATAAATAAAGTTTTATCTTAACAACCCAAAATTGATAATTATTACATTTGAAGATAGGAATACGTTGAATAGGATCACTTACTCCAAGTCATATTCTTTTTTTTTTTCTTTTTCTAGTTCTATTAGTCTTTCCTTTTTTTTAAATTGATATATTCATTTTGATCTTCTTCGAACCAAGTTTGATACCATATTGTTAGCTTTTCTATGGAACTTCACATAGAAGGGGAAGATAATAGCAGAGGAAACTAGGAGTACTTTAAATTTGGAGTGGTTTGGATTGATCCAAAGCACTTATTTAATTAACTAAAAGATAAAATATAATTTTTTTTAAAAAATAAAAAAAATTCTTCTCTCTCTCCTCATGCTTTTCCTTTCCCTTCTAACGAGAGCCGGGGTTGAAGGTGTCAAGTAGATGATGCTACACAAAGACAACGAGGGCTCATAGTGGGAGCAAGGGATGGAGGCATAATTGACCGACACCGCATCGAGGCAACACGACCTTTGTACAAGGAGGAGAGGGTAATTGTTAGAGAGGATAGGGTGATGGTGATAGCACTGAAAGTGAAAGTCATAAGAGAGTGAAAGATCCTAAAAGATGTAACGATGTCGTTGGAGACAGCAAGCAAATGATTAGGGGCGAGATGATAGTGAAGAAGTATTTTTGTTAAAGTAATAAAAAAGAATGCCCCCACATAAAAATTAATTAGAGGGAGACCATAATAAAAATCAAATATTAAATTTTTTGAAAGGTAAAATACCCTTGTTTATACTGTCAAAATATTATGCACCGACATATATATTTATTTAGTCCTTTTCAACTGCTTCAGATGCGGCGGAAGGCTGCTGCGTTCGCCCTAAGCAAACGTAAGAAAGCGTGGCAAAGCAATAACCGTCCGATCTCGATCAATGGTTCGGTAGGTACAACTCATAGCGATCGTCGGATGTTGCAATCCGACGGTCCTATAGAAACCCTACCCCGGTCTCTAAGACCGTGCTCCACAAGGTCGGCGGGACGGCGAGCTCCGAAAGCCCATTCTCCTTCTCTTGACTCTTGGCGCCTCCAATCTTTCCTTCTCGAGGTGAGTTATCTCGCCTCTTCCTTTCGATTCCTAGAAGTTGTTTCATTGTGATCTGTATGTTATCTTGAGTTCAGTATTGCGAACGCACTAGAATTGTACCTTTGATGTTAGATCTTGGCCTGACTATTACGTGTTCTATGATTCAATTCTCAGTGATCCGTGATTTCTTTTGTTCCTTTGAGATTCTAAGCGGTTTACTGTTCTGTTTGCTTGCTGTCGATCTCGTTGCTCATTTTCTTCCGTGCTTAGTTCACGTACTGTGTAGATTTAGTGATATGAATTGTTATCGAGTTCTCCATCTTTTTGGTGTTGTTCGACGTATTTGCTCGTTCTTTGGGGAGTTCCTTCTCTTAGTTGTAGCTTAAGTGCGACCTAGTGCCGTCATTTTCCCTCGTTATGGTGTGCTTATATATGTATTATTACTGATATGGAGTCATAGTTTGAGGAAAGTCATCGTTTTTCTTGTTTGTACATGTACCATTTGCGCTCATTTAATTTTGTTTTGGGTTTTGGTGTGCTTTGCTACTGTTGATAGGGGGTCATAGTTTGAGGAAAATCTGTTGCCAGAAATAAATACAATCTTAATGCTTCCCATTTATATTTATTATCTCAAGGGACGAGTCATTTGACGACTTCGATCAAGCTGAAAAAAATCATCTTTTGCAATGTCTTTTGGTACATACTAATCGACGGAGCAAAACATGTAAAACTTCAACATAGGTAGGGTCTCTTTTCTTTATTTCTCCTGAACAAACTTTACACTCATATTTCTTAATCTAATATAAAGTAACACAATTGATCACTCTCCAGGAAATTTGCTATTCTATATTCTTACACAGTTTCAGTCTGTTTAAACTTGTTCTTTTTCCTCTATATAGATTGAAGAATAGGATCAGTAGAAGTCAGTGGAGGATCTTTTATTCCAGTTCCATTTTTGCTATAATAACATATATTTCCCATTTACTTAAGTAAACTGGTTTCTTGTTTCCATGTTGATTTTTTGATGAGAACATCTCCATTCTGCAGTGGTCTTATGTCTGCTATCCCTATGCTGTGTTTTCTTTTGTGTTTCTCTTGATATATAAATCTATCACATTCCCCTGATATATATATATATATATATATATATATATATATATATATATATATATATATATATATATATATATATAATGAGTTCATGTGTTTTAAGATGAAGAATATTTTTTTTAAGAATTTGGTGACAAAGCACCAGAGGCTTTCATGATACCTATTCTATGTTTTTCTTTGATGTGCTTTTGTTTTCTTAATATCTTCTTTTCTTTTTTTTTTCCCACTTAATTTTCTATTGATTTCTCTGTCCTATGTTGCTCCCCTTAGGCACCATGGGTAAGGAGAAGGTACACATAAGCATTGTGGTCATTGGCCATGTCGACTCTGGCAAATCGACAACTACTGGTCATCTTATTTACAAGCTTGGTGGCATTGACAAGCGTGTGATCGAGAGATTTGAAAAGGAAGCTGCTGAGATGAACAAAAGATCATTCAAATATGCTTGGGTTCTTGACAAGCTTAAGGCTGAGCGAGAGCGTGGTATCACCATTGACATTGCGCTATGGAAGTTTGAGACCACAAAATATTACTGCACAGTCATTGATGCCCCTGGGCACCGAGACTTTATCAAGAATATGATCACAGGAACCTCTCAAGCTGACTGTGCTGTGCTCATTATCGACTCCACTACTGGTGGATTTGAGGCAGGTATTTCAAAGGACGGTCAGACCCGGGAACATGCTCTTCTTGCATTTACCCTTGGTGTCAAACAGATGATTTGCTGCTGCAATAAGGTTTGTCTTCAGAACATGCTGTCTGATTATTAGTTGAAGTTACTAGTTCGAATCATGCAATCGTTTGATGATTCCTTGTCTGTTTGATTGAACTTGCCTTCTTTTTCTGTTTTCATTATTTAATACGATCTGTTCAGTTAAGCTGTATGATAGTAATTTACGTTTCTGTAGCTGTTATTATGAATTATATAGGATGCCAATGCAAACTTTTCTCCTACATGTGAACATCTTGTTTGCAAGTCAAATATTCTGCTGGTCCATATTTTCAAACTGAAAGATGTTCTAATTGCCCTTGTTAATCTTTCTCATGGTGCTTGTAGAAATTGCTACAAATACATGATCATGGTTTTTTTTAGGAAAGGACCATTACCATTTTCGGTGATTTCCTAATCTGTTCCAATAGAATGTAGCATGCTTTTGAATCACCAGTGCTTGTTAGCTCCAGGTTGATGGCCAATTTATTTATATGTTTAATTCTTTTGCTTGATTTGGTGCTAGAATTGTCTCAAGCCATCTGCCGCTGAGGTTCCAGATGGATCAGTTGGCTGACCATTGATTCTAATAATATGTTTTGTTGTTTTTCTGCATATACTGGATACCTTGTTCGGTTACTGGTTTTCCTCTTTTTTTTAAATGTTTCCGCTCATTCTATTATGTTTGAAGGGAAACTACTGTGGATGCAGAATTTGTTTTGGATGATAATTCAAATTAGCAGTGTTATTGTATGGTCACTTCATTCATATAGGCTGTTCCCTTTCCCTTCGGTTATTCATTTTTTATTTGGTCTGAGTTTGGAACCAAATGTAAAGTTGTGTGATGATTTCGGTATACAATTTGGGACTCGCTTTGGCACGACTATGTGCATGCCTTTTGTGAAGCTTATGTATCTGTTTATGTAAATTGTTTCTCTTGATTTTTATTTTTTGTTGTTCATTTTAGATGGATGCCACTACTCCAAAGTACTCCAAGGCTAGATATGACGAAATCGTGAAGGAGGTCTCTTCTTACCTCAAGAAAGTTGGTTATAATCCTGATAAGATTCCTTTTGTTCCCATTTCTGGTTTTGAGGGTGATAACATGATTGAGAGGTCCACCAACCTGGATTGGTACAAGGGTCCCACCCTTCTCGAGGCCCTTGACTTGATCCAAGAGCCAAAGAGACCCTCAGACAAGCCTCTTCGCCTTCCTCTACAGGATGTCTACAAGATTGGTGGCATTGGAACTGTCCCTGTGGGTCGAGTAGAGACTGGCATCCTTAAGCCTGGTATGGTTGTCACTTTTGGTCCAACTGGGCTTACAACTGAAATTAAGTCTGTGGAAATGCACCACGAGGCATTGCAAGAGGCCCTCCCCGGCGACAATGTTGGGTTCAATGTTAAGAATGTTGCTGTCAAGGATCTTAAGCGTGGCTTTGTTGCTTCTAACTCCAAGGAAGATCCTGCAAAGGAGGCAGCTAACTTCACTTCTCAGGTTATCATCATGAACCATCCTGGTCAGATCGGCAATGGTTATGCACCTGTGCTTGATTGCCACACCTCTCACATTGCTGTCAAGTTTGCCGAGATTCTTACCAAGATTGACAGGCGATCTGGGAAGGAGCTCGAGAAGGAGCCAAAGTTCTTGAAGAACGGCGATGCCGGTTTTGTCAAGATGATTCCTACCAAGCCCATGGTTGTCGAGACCTTTTCCCAGTATCCACCCCTTGGTCGTTTCGCCGTGAGGGATATGAGGCAAACAGTGGCCGTGGGTGTCATCAAGAGTGTTGAGAAGAAGGATCCAACCGGTGCTAAAATTACAAAGGCTGCTGCCAAGAAGAAATGAGTCGCTTGTCAAACAAACTGCCAATAATAATAGTTTGAGGCCTTTTTATGTTTTAGGAACTGACTCTATTGGATTCAACCAGATAGGTTTTTCGTTTGATGATGAACTCAGACAAATTTCATGTTATTCAGTCAAATGTTGCTTATTTATGGGGCTTTTAGTGTCAAACATGGGTGAACTTTGTAGTGACCTTCCTGCCATAATGGTATTCATGATTTGTTTGCATTGTTCAACTGTTTGTTCCTTGACTGCTTGCAGTGCTGTTTCATGTTAAGTATGCTAACAAGGATGAATCTGTGCTGATATCAAGTAGCCTGCAGTGGAGAATTGTGTGGATTCGTTGCAATTGCGTTATAACATATGTTGGACTCTTTAACATCAACCTGAGACGAAGTTCTATCTAATTTCTATAGTTATTTAATTAAATTAATAATGCATAATGAAAGTAAATAACAATAAATATTCTATTAGACTTGTATTTTGATTTTTTTGATGGATTTAGATGGTTTGATTAATGGAAGTTATTTGATACATATATAATTCATTTTTTTAATTTAATTCAATGATATTAGACTATATAAAACCTTGTTATTAGCGAATCAGATAATAAGATATCTTCTAGTTTCTGTAGCTTTGATAACCATATCTATTTCATGGGGTTCATGTCAAGTTGGGTGAAAAGCGTGCATATTTCAAAGGTTGAGTCAAGTAACATGACACCAAAATCTTATAGCCACTAATGGCAAATTTAGCTTATAATTGCTTATTATCCTCAGTAGCAATTAAACATCAAAGCTCATATTTCTTTCTGTTTATCTATATCATACATGTTGGATGGTCTTCGTGCACTCATAATGCCTTCGTTAACGGGCTGTTCATTTTTGTGTCTTTCAAGCTTGGATGGTCGTCGTGCACTCATAATGCCTTCGTTAACGGGCTGTTCATTTTTGTGTCTTTCAAGCTTGTGGTGTGGTACAAATTATCAATCATCTCAAATCTTTGAAACCCCAAGCTTTAGGTGAACCCTATGACTCTTCTAACACTGCAACACTTGTGTGCCTTCAAGTTTGTGGTGTGATACAAATTATCAACCATAGGACTCTTCTAACACCGCAACACCTGTGTGCCTTCAAGTTTGTGGTGTGATACAAATTATCAACCATCTCAAATCCTTGGAACTCCAAGCTTTAGGTGAACCCTATGGCTCTTCTAACACTCCCAACCAATTGTTTGTAGATTTTAATTTGTTATTTTTCTTTCCAAATTTCTTATTTTCCTTTGCTCTCTAAACGTTTATTGAATTGCTTGATGCATTTTTAGTGAGACAAATCTTTATAAACGAATATAGTAAGAGAATCTCGTAACTTCGTGACAGTACCATTGAAGAAAAAATTAAGAAGAAGAAATCAATTCTACAAAGTGCATCGGAAGATAATTCCGATAAAAAACGCACAAGCTTTCTTGGTAAACAATGAGTGTCAAAAGAGTCAGCAAAAACTCTTGTTTTTGATATTAGTAAATCTTATCGGCAGATTAGGCTTCCCCAGCGGCTATCCTCAATTTCCACATAGCAAAATCTTCATCCAACAAAAATGAATTCAGAAGATAATTCAGCACTGATTTAGTACAGGTGAGAGCAAAAAATGTTGGATTCTTAAGCTTCCTTGCTTATCTATCTAGTCTAATGCAAACTGAACAGCAAATTTTTGGGTTCAAAAGCTTACTTAGCTCAGAACAACTTGTAGAATTTCATGTTATTATAACATAGAATTAAACTACCGAACAAAGTCAGCCCCCCACGCTTAATGTTGGTGGGGCAACATATTTATTCTCCCGGTGCGGCGATCCCCTGCTTCAGCCGTTCCCTTTTCATCTTCTTTTTGGACACCAGCTTCTTCTTCTTTGGTGGTAGATTCTTTTGAGCATAAGTGTAGAGTGCAAAGTTTCCAACAAGGAACAACAGCACAAGCCCGCCGATAACAAGCAAGACCACCAACCCAGGGTTCAATCCATTCGTTGCTTTCTCCCTCATCATGTTTCGCTGTCGTTCAAAACGTGTAATCTCATCTAAGAAAAGGATACGACGATAAACAACAAAAATAATGTGTCCTTGAGACACAAGTATCATCAGCGCCTTTGAGCTGGAATTACTTTCCAAAATTAAGGTGCAGTACCAATCAGACGATAAAGAAACAAGAAATTAAAGAATTATGGTCCAGATGAACTTAAGAACACGTTTAAGACATTGAAAGATTGAAGATTAATACATGATAACAAACAGAAAGGTCAGATCAACTATTTCTATCATTCACCACAAGGTATATGATGGAGAAAAAGAAAAGCAAATACATCTCAGTAAGGTTGTCTCAATCTTGTAAACCTAACAAAAAAGATTTCAACAGCACCCAACTTTTTGCAAGAACAGGCAGATAAGTCATACTACTCCAATGAGATAATGTAATGCATGGCAATAACGTGCTTGATATATATCATGCCTTCAGAGCACAAGAGCAAGATTTATATAGTGTTGAGTACAATCACTAACATCTGAACTCCCAAAACCTGAAATATGAAACAACTGATTTGGAAATGAAAACAGTATATATTTTGGCATCTCATGCGATGAAAGCATGGATACAATTTGCTCAAAAGTTGATCATTAATGCACACTGATGCATCAAAATGCAGATATCCCAACACAACAATTACTGTAGAAGTAATACATGATACAACACAGGGGTGACAACTAATACATGTATGGCTTTGTATGTTATTATAATTTTATATTTCATAATATAACAATTTTTTGAACATCATATATGAAACTTATAAGGATAACAATCATTCATTGTGCCAAATATTCACAGAACTTCAAATACAAACATAATTTATAAGTTAAAAGTCCAAATTATATAAATATTATAAACATTCGAAATCTTGACACCTTATAAGTCAATTAAGTGACATACATAAACATACTAACAAAAATATCCATCTGTCAACATTAATATGACACGGTGACATTAAATGTCACCGTGCTTCAAAATTTAAGATTGAACTGATTTATGTGGTACAATGTTGCAAATCTAGAAAAAATTGCATTAGCGGATTGTTAATTAACAACACATATTGATAGAATAAAAAATAAATTGGAGCAAAGAAGATAAAGGACAATAAGACGCATTTAATTACTCTAAACTCTTAGATTCTAAATCCCTAAATCTACATGCTTATAAATTTCCCTAGTAGAACTCCTCAGATATATAAGCTATGGGTTTATCACTCAATTATGTGATGATGGGCTACCCTTGGTCGTGTAACTAAATCAACAGGCACAGGAAAATCCAGATTAGCCTGTCTAAAGTATGACCACTGGTTGAGAAGCTAAGAACCTTTAGTTTCTTGCTCGAGCTTCACGACAAGGTTGTGAAAGAATACGTTAGTCGTTAGACCTTGTCATCAATTTAATATGGTGAATAACAAAATGTTGCTGCTCCAAAGAATTAGAGATTTGGCTTTCATAGGAACCGTGAATGTGGACGCATAAAAAAAATATTGTTGTCCAAATTCTCTTAGATAGCAGAACATTTTATTTGGTGGAATCAATAACCGCTTAATAACAACATAAATTAGGCAGTGCAGGAGCTTTAAAAGTACTTTATAAGGTTTCATGCAGTTCCCATGGAACAACCATACTCAGCATCAACCATCTTGATGATATTACCCAACTAAGCATCTTGGCTGACGAGCAAAGACAACCTTATTTTAGCAGTATCCTTTCTGGAGATGGATATGGCAGGTATGAAATTTTATATTGGGAAATCGTATCTGTTGTGCAAGGCAGTAGCAAGAAAGAGGATAAAGGAGAAACAGATAATGATATTTCTAATTGGAAGAAATACAATCAAAGTAGATTATCATTATAAACAGAATAATTTGTAAGATGTGAAGAAGCTGACATAAGGCAAGTATGAGAAATACAAAAGGGAATGTAGAAGAAGAAACAACAAAGGGATATCAAAAAAGAGCAGTGACGAAGACTATACCCGTTCAACATTACAGGAAAAGTAATGTACAGAATGTCACACAGACCAGCATAAGAAACCAAGAGTTCAGTGACCAATGGGAATAATTACTTGAAGAACCTGACTCTACCCTAAAAGGATGTCCCGATCCGACAGTATCTGATATAAATGTCACTATTCCTTTGCAAGAAATGAAAATTGAATCTCAACAAACTTTGCAGAAATGCTGGATGAGGCACAATCAGTAAAGTGCCTGCACTGCAGAGAAAGGAAATATTTCACGATCATTACAGACTAGAAAACCTAGCTAAATTTTACTACTTTATGGAACATAATGAACTTGAACGCTCGAATGAGGGCAAACATCTCATAAGAGTGGGCAATCTACCGTCTCCCAGCATTCACCATCTTTACTCCTCCGAATCATCCAAGGAATTGAGACACAAGAATCTCAAGAACGTGCAATATGTATATCGATCCAATCTCTCTAAATCATTTGCCCATATAAGGTCACAATCGAGAGGAGAAGTAAGCGATCCAACAAATATCATCCATAGCATGAAACCGAGATCACAACAGAAGAATTAGATCAACGACGAATCCATAGATTACTTCACAAGCAAAATTGCTTCTTTCTACCGATCAGTCGCAGATCCGCACCGATTACACCAGATCAAGCGTAGGTCGCGTACATGTGAGTATGATGCATCGAAACTAAAGACAGAAACACGAAGCCTTACGGTGGCATCTGAGAACTGCTCATCCATGGCGAGAGATCCCACGAAAAGCCACTCCGCTCGGCTTCCCCCTCTGCATGCATCACGCGCTCAAAAACCCAAGATCGGATGGAAAAAAAGAAGGAATCGGGGAAAGGGATCGAGATTCCTACCTCCTCCCGTCTTCCGATACCCGAATCGGGAATCCAATGGATCGGGGATCGAGGGAAAGAAAAGGAAGGGTTTGGGTGGATTCGACGAGATCGAAGGCAGGATGGAGATGGAAGGAGCAGCGTGAGATCTCCACCTTCGTTGTAGAGCTGGGACGCGAGACCCGATCACGCACATCGCACCTGAGGAGCGACGTCGTTTAGGGAAATGAATCAGATCGAACGCAAACGGGTCGGTTTACCGGACGCCGAGCCCAAATCCGAAATTTCTATTTTGACTATGGCACTTAAACCCGATTTACTTATATCTAAGATAATTTTT